GGGTTTGCACATGTGGCAAAATAAAGGCGGTGATCTAGATCATGCGTATGTGGGGAATAAGGATGGAATTTCTTGATTATTGCACATGTGGCAAAATAAGGATGGCATTCTTGATGATGTTTATGTGATGGTTTGAGGGTAATTTTCTTGATGATATTCATGTGACGAAACAGGGGTGATATTTTTGATCATGTACATATTTTCTTTAACCTTCATCATATATTTTAACAAGTTGCAAGTTGTATTTTACATGCTATCATATGCCTCTATTTCTATAAAAATGATTTGTTGTCAAAAATAGATTTTTCTACGTTGAGTTGTTATCACATATTTTTACGAGATTGTGGTGTCATATTCCGTTATTTATTTTTGCTGACAGTTATTGATATATTGCACATGTTCTTTGACTAGTGAGTATCACATGACTTGAACCTCGCCACTACTTCACCGAGGTTAGTCTTGATACTTACTGGGTATTGATTATGGTATAGTCATAATATACTTCTGCATATTTTGTGCAGATCCGGGTGTTGGAGGTAGCGGACCTAGGGAGTAAGTGCATACACTGATCGCGAGGATTCAAGGTAATGTTGCATGGCCGTCGCAGTTCTTGGAGTCCCATCCTTTATGTTGATGCTGTTATTTTCACAAAAAATAGTATTGTACTTGAGACTCCTTTGTGTATTCTGGTTAGATCTCATGACTCTGTACTACCTAGTTCTGTGAAGTTGTATTGTGTATTGCCATTTTTGGGCTTATTTTAACACTATTTTTGTTGTTATATTAAATTCAGCCTTATTATCTCATATTTTAATGATTTAATGTTGTTAATGTGTTTGGCTTACCTATTCTCGGAGGTTAGGTGTCATCAGGACCCCTTTGGTGGGATTTGAATTATCTAAATAGACTTAATACGCCAAGGGTATATATGCATCCTAGGTTCAACATGATGCATGCACCTATAGGCAATGTATAGACTCTACCAAAGTTGCATTCCTTTAGGACTTATGGATACTCCCAAGCGGACAACTTAAGAGGGGTAGCCACGTGACCATCGAATACACCGTTGATCAACTAGTCTTACGTAAAAAAGCCTTCCCAATTAAGAGTATTTTTTTTGAAGACGCAGTCACTCATCAAGGTATCCGCTTATATTTAAAAAAAGGTATGAGTGGAGTATGATATTGAAAACATGCTTAACAAATGATAGCAAAAAGTGGTAACACATAGTTAAATAGTCAAATATAAAAAATAATAAAACACAACTTTTAAGAAAAAGCAATAAATAAAACAACAAAAGAAAAGAAAATTAGTTAGCATAGGTCTTAAAAATAAAGTGAATAAAATAGGCAATTTGATAAGCGTGGGAAGTAATAAAACTACAAGGGCGACATAATTGTAAATTGAAAATAAATAAGGAAAAAGGGAAAGGGAGGTACGTGGAAAGAGACAAAGGAAATAATCCAATAGCAACAACCAGATAAAACCCAAAACAATTCATATAAAACCCGATATGGTAGGAACCTAAATAATCCTCAGCAAAGTCGTCATGCTGTCGCGCCTCATTTTCTCGAGAAAGCGGGTTTCGACATATGATAACTCTTTTAAACGAGATTAAAAGAGAAGAGTTGTCACCTAATGATTTTAAGGTGCGTTAGAACACCTATTTGCAAGTAACTCGGTTAAAACTAGTTTGTGCAACCAAAAATCGTGTAAGGGTTCAAATTACCTCGAAAAAAAGGTATTAAGCACTCTTCAAGGTACACAACTGTGGTCCAGTCCGAATTTTAAACTATTTGGGATTATTGAGATATAAACGAACTAATAAATCTATGTGACTAATCATGTAAATCAATCAAAGGTAACTAAATAATCACATAAGCCCAATTAAAGAGATACTCAAATGCTCGACATACAAAAGGAAGAATAGTAATCAGGGGCAATCATAAGCATAAATGAGATTATTATTAAAGGGGATCTAAGTTTTTAAGCCTAATGGATCAACTCTCGTGCAAAATATGCTAAGACGTTTTATAACTAAAGTGCAACGGATAATTTGTATATCATCTCCACTATCCTCATTATCATTTTTAAGTTGTTTACCTAAAGCACATTATTTGATCCTAAATCGTGTCTTAATTGATCTACTCATCCCTTTCTATAGTCCAGGAGGCATTGGACACTATCTAAAAAATGGTTCTAGACTTAAGAAAAATACGTAAGTTTTCTATTCTATTTACTTATTAGGGTCACATAATAAGGATAAATAAGTTGGACTTGAACAAGTCGCGTACAATCAAGCAAAAGCTCAAGTTGTCCTCCCAAGTAGACGCTCAAATAAAATGGATAACGATTAAGTATGGATAGTCACGGGGTTAACATAATGATTTATCGAACTAACAGTTTGCTTAATTAACCCTCTGGACAAGATTACTAGTGAGTAGTGAGTGATGAATTTGGCATGAAACTGAATTGAAGCACAAGCCCGATTAATATTAGAACTCTATAGGCATATTATCTATCCCAATGAATTGAGTAAGACAGTGGTCTGGTTAGAATTGATTTGAATTTAATAGGCGTGTAAAACAGTCTAATAATATGATACAGTGGCATTGTGTCCCTATATTTATGATTTCTAGGTTGTGAAAGAAGTAAAACCATATTACACACTATAAGCATGATTTATAGATGAATACACGTGCAAATAGAATCGCCAAACGTATCTTGAAAATAAATATCGTAGTTCTATTTGAACCCCTATAGGCATGATTTCTAAATTGAACATATTAAAGTTATATTAAATCCTATAGACATGATTTCTAATGTATAAACATAGTAGCATATAAACGGCATAAGTTAACTTCTTATAGGCATATTTCTAAATGTGAAGAAGCACATAGCATGTTGAAAAATTAATAACCTATAGCATGTTTTCTACTCCATAGCATGTATAGAATAAAACTCAACCCCATATTCACTATGTCTCCATATCTGTTTATACATGATTATTACAGACCAAAGAGAAAGAAGAACAAATATACATCCCAATTAAGTTAATATCGAGAAAATATCATACGGATATGAACCCAAATATGTCCTGGGCCTTCAGAAATTCTTCTGATGCAACTAGGGCCCAGCAGCAGCTAGAACGATCCAATTGACCAGGCCCAAATCCAATTCTTGTCCCCAACAGGGCACCCCCTATACGTAAAAAGAACCTACTACGCCTTGCTCAGCCATTACACTCGACAAGTAGGAGCGATGACTAACAATATGAACTGAGGTCCTATAGGCAAGTCCTCTAGATGCAATGACATGGCATTTGACTGAAGTACAGAAACTGAAGCAACAGTTGGCATCTACACTTACAAGACGTGCTTTCTACCTAGCCATACAAAGACAAAATACAAAAGGGAGAGGAGAGGGATATTGGAGGCATGTTCCTTAGGCTCTTGGCAAATACATTGCAATGAAACAGGGGAAGCACAGAGAGAATTTTACTAGGTTCACATCGCTAAACAAAGATGAGGCAACGATTCTATTGACATGGTTTTCTGATGTTACTCTAACTTAACGTAAAGAGCACACATACCAGAACAACATACACCAATAACAAAATTAAGGCAATCATGTGGTTCTTAAGTCTCTATCACCTATTATTCTCTGCTTCAGCCACCAAAACTTCTCTTACAACCGATTATTCTCTTCTTCAGCTTCTTTCAGTTTTTCCTTCAATGCCTCAACCTCTTTTTCAGCATTGTAATATTTTTTTTGAGTTCCCAGACCTTCTTTTCGTTCTCTCAACATTTACAAAGTTCTTGTGTCACGGATTTGTAGCATTCCTCGATTCAAAACTATATTGATCTCCCTTCTATATATACACATCAAAATAAACGATAATTAATGTAGAATAATTACAACAACAACAAATTACAGATTTGCATATTCATTACTCATATAGTATTTATAACATCTCCGACCCGGATTGGAAGGGCCTATGATGCCTCAATACAATGTGTTTTCCGTAGAAATACCTAGGGACATCATCTCGACCAAACATTGTTCGTTGCTGGAACTTAGAAGTTTGAAAGAGGGATCTAAGTTTTATTTTTATAAAATGGTGAAATTAGCAAAAAAGGAAGAGTCTCTAACGGTCGTTAGCCCAGAATGATATAGCCCATGATGCCCATGCGCTATATATAGTCATGTTCTTCCTTTTTCATATTATTTTGGTGTTTTAAATTGAATTGTGCGTTACTTTGATTCCTTGCAGGGGTGGTGCGAGTTTAAACATATGCAGTGCAGTACGGCTTTAGACATATGCGGCTGCATTGCGAGGTCTGGCAGGTCGAAATTTTTAAAAAAAAAAAAAAAAAAAAGGTATTGGCAACGGTAATGTCATTTTAGGAGCTGCCAACAAAATAGCTTTGACTTTAGCAAGAGAAAAGACATAACAGATACTTGCAAAAAGTTTGCCATGAAAAATGTAGTCAATCATTTTCCTGAATCTTATAAAATTAGCACGTTGGAGTCGTGTTATCGAAAACACCTGCAGACTCGAAGAAGTATTTATTAAGATGGTTAATTTGCAGGATATGCAAGAATGTAAGAAATCACCAAGAAGCCTAGCAGCCATTTCAAAAAGAAATTCAAATAAATATAAGGCAAATTGAAGAAGAAAAAAAATCTAGCGGGGCGGGCGGACAGGGGTATAAATTCAGGGCAGGGCGGGGTGAAATTTTGCGGGTTAAAGCAGAACCTTCTCCGCCCCGCACCGCTTGCCATCCTACAATACTAGCCATAATTAAAAGTAGTAAGGTTTGAACCGCAATAAGTTCGTCACCAAGGCTTATTCATGTGACACTGAGCAACTTTGAAGGCCCTTTCCTTTGAATGTTTGACTGGGATTGGGGGTCATGCACCGGGATGAGGGGTTGTTTGTAAATGGTGGCACTACCAACAACTCAATTAGCCATAATGACTTTTTTTAGTCCATGGAATAGAACAAACGTATTGGACCATATATTATATAACACATAGACAAGCAAAGTACACAGAACTAATTTTATATGAAAGACAACAGAGATGAGAATCTTGATCCTCAGCACATTTCCACAGCTTGCTGGAGTTTGCACTGTGTGACCATCACAACCAAGCAACACACAATCACTTGCATCGACACCACCTGCAAATGGTAAAACTTTCTCTACCAACATGCAACCTATCTTGGCTATTGTGAGATGAGTTTGTGTAGTATGGATTGACGTTACACTAACCACTTCCTAGTCCAGCTAACCCAAAAATAGAAACAGATCTGTAAAGAATTGAAACACATTTCCAATGACAGTTTCAAACTCAAATGTTGAGGTAGAGACAGTTTCAGGTTCAGCATGTACAAAACCAATAAAAGGCTGTAGTGACCAAGTGTGTGCAGAGATAGAACTCATTAACTTGCAGTTGGTTTTTGTACATTGCTTGTGTGGGTGAAAGAGTCAAGCACCCTTGTTGCTACTCCATGGCTTGAGCACACCAACAACGATGACTGCAACGATTATCAGAAGGATGATGATGGCAATGCACATCCATTTTCTTGAATTCTTTTGTAGTGACTTTGCCTTTTGTAGAGCAGTATTCCCTGATTGCACATGGTCTACTGCAGCTGAAACCTGAAATTTGGATTCTCAAGCAATGAGGAAAGAAAACATAAACATAGGGTAGGATTCATACAAGGATAATGCATTTTAGTTGGATTGTCAAGCAACGAGGAAAAGAAAATAAAAAGACAGAAGATTTAAGATATGCAAAAGAAGAAAGAGTAGGTACCAGGGTGAGGGTCATACTAGGTAATGAATTTGATTTGGAATGTCAAGCAATGAGGAAATGAAACAAAAAGATAGAGAAAATATAAAATGCAAGAGAAAAAAAAGTATCTGTATCAGAATAGGGGTCATACAAGATAATGAATTTCAGTACCTGTGATTCTATATTATCAAGCATGTCCCCTTGAGCATCAACCAACACTGCCATATCCAAGAATATCTGCATTAAAGATAATAATGAATTTTAAACCGTATATCACTGCCTGTTTTTCCTCTTTTCTATCAGGCACTAATTCCATAATGGCATCATCACTTCCCACAATGCCTGTCACCTTCCAGATAATTATGGAACTCCTTCATTTCAGTGATGTTATTTCATTGGGAGTGATTAAACCAATGACATTATACTGAAAACAGATGATATCAGAAACATATGGTAGGAGGGACCATGTTCAGTGCTCTGAACTCATGTTTAGTCCACAATTAGATGATATAATAAAATATGTTCAATTGTGTGACCATCTCATCTAAAAGTTTAAGCTGTTAGAGAGGGTACATTTTTATGTACTTAATTATATTTTCAGCATGTGCCCTTTACGTGGAGGCTTGATTCTTTTTAAAGCTAAGCAATGTGCTCCTTTCAGTAATGCGTTGCGGTGAGACTTGAACCCAGGACCTCTGGCCGCTCTAATACCACGTTGAATTGTGTAACCATCTCATCCAAAAACTTAAGCTGTTAGAGAAGGTATACCTTTTATTACTTAATTATATTTTCAACAGAATTGAACAAAAATATATCTCTAATTTTTCTTATACTTTCCTGTGTTCCTTGTCCCTTCTCTTTCCCACCTTTCTTGACAATGAGGGATTTTCGAGCAAATTTTGTTGTTATTCTGTCCCTCATCATAGGGACACTTGTCTTACCTGTTGCAACTCAAGAAGTTTCCTTTCTAGCTCTCTGACTGCATCATGACGCTCTTGAATTTCCGCTAGGGTATCCATTATCTGCAAAATAGTAACATTGACAAGTGGCACATTGGCGTCGTAGTTAGTGAAACTAAACAGCTAGATAACAGAGCAAGAGGGATAAAGACTAAAGTTTGCATAACTTAATTCAGACGAAAAAGAGGGAAAAAGAAAAAATGAATCCAGCAAGGAAGAGAAACTGCTTATCGTTACAATTGATTATATATGAAGATCGGTGGCCAAACCAACCAAATAACTCCCTCCCACTGCTATCTGATGTCTACTTCTCCATGCTGTTGTAACTAATTGCCTACCTCTCTAACCGGGTTAATTTCATTGATGGTCATTGAACTATCTTTCAATTTCACTAAAGTCATATAACTATTTTTTGTCACTTAAAAGTAACTAAACTTTATCATTGTCACTTAAAAGTCATTTTGTCTCAAACCCCTACCATAAATATGACATGGCATTAAATTTTATGATAAAAATCCAAAAATAAATGCCACATAAGCTAATATGCGTCATACCCATTTTAGATACATTTATCCTTTAATGTGATTTGATCCATAATCCAAATGAGTTTCGATAAAAAAAAATATTAATTCCGCATTAGTTTAAAATTATTATCCTATACTATAAAGTTTTGCCTGTCACAACACATTCATAATTATTCTATGCTAGAAAATTCTTATCTTGTTTGTATGCCCCATCTGAGTCATTTTATAACTCTACTGAAACTAAAATACTATTGTATACAATAGTATTTTAAATGACTCGGATGGGGCATACAAACAAAATAAGAATTTTCTAGCATAGATTATTTTAGTATAGAATAATTATGAATGTGATGTGACAGAAAAGGCAAAACTTTGTAATATAGGATAATCATTTTAAACTAATGTGGAATTAATATTTTTTTTATCGAAACTCATTTGGATTATGGATCAAATCACATTAAAGGATAAATGGATCTAAAATGGGTATGACTCATATTAGCTTATGTGGCATTTATTTTTGGATTTTTATCATAAAATTTAATGCCATGTCATATTTATGGTAGGGGTTTGAGACAAAATGACTTTTAAGCGACAATGATAAAGTTTAGTTACTTTTAAGTGACAAAAAATAGTTATATGACTTTAGTGAAATTGAAAGATAGTTCAATGACCATCAGTGAAATTGAAAGATCGGTGGCCAAACCAACCAAATAACTCCCTCCCACTGCTATCTGATGTCTACTTCTCCATGCTGTTGTAACTAATTGCCTACCTCTCTAACCCTACATCTTTTGACCCAGCAACAGCTTTACATATATGTAGCAGAAAATGTGGTTCGATTATGATGTGTTACATTACTGTTTTTTATCAGTAATCTGCTGTTATACTACTTCAAGCACATGACACTGGTCTGGCAATAGCAGCCTGAGGGTTAAAGAGACCTTAGTCAACAAGGCAAATTATCCTGCTTAGAAATTTTGCGAAAGGGTTGACAGTATAAGATGCTACAGCAGTGTGGAAATCACTTGTTTCTTATTCTACCAAAGTCAAATCATCCATCCTATTTTTAAGTATTTTGAATGAGTCTATTCCTTTATGATGGTTCCAACAAGTGAGAAGGAAAAAAATAATTTTCTTCTCTGTTGTTTTCACAGGGAGAGCACGGCATGACATTCGAGAGAAAAGGAAAATATAAACGGAATTGAAACAACAATAATAACAAACTCAGTGTAATCACACAAGTAGGGTCTGCGGAGGGTAGTGTGTACGCAGACCTAGGTAAAGAGGTTATTTTTGATAGACCCTCGGATCAAGGACAGAAGAAAATAAGCAGTAACAACAAACAATAACAACAGTAAAATAAGATGGTAAGATGACCGAAGCGAAATAAATAACATCTAGTAATATAAATATAAGAATAAGAAAATACGAAAATACTACTAATACTACTGGGTATGGAACAGAGAAACGCTCGATTACCTACTAACCTTCTACTCTAATTCTCGACCTCCACACCCTCCTATCAAGGGTCATGTCCTTGGTATGTTGCAGTAACGCCATGTCCTGCCTAATCACCTCTCCCCGGTACTTCTTTGGCCTACCTCTACCTCTCCTCAGACCCATGGTGCTATCCTCTCACCTCCTCACTGGGGCATCTGTGTGCTTCCTCTTCACATACCCGTACCATCTCAGCCTCGCTTCCCGCATCTTATCCACCACGGAGGCCACTCCCATTTTAATCTATTATCTCCTAGTATGCCTACATATTCATCTCAGCATCCTCATTTCTGCTACTCGCATCTTCTGGATATGGGAGTTCTTTACTGGCCAAAACTCCACCACATACAACATAGTCGGTCTAATCACCACTCTGTAGAACTTACCTTTAAATCTTGATGGCACATTCTCGTCACACAAAACACCAGATGCGAACCTTCATTTCATCCACCCTGCACCAATACGATGTGTGACATCATTGTCAATCTCCTAATTACCTTGGATTACTGACCCCAGGTGCTTAAAACTTCCTCTGTTAGGGATGGCTTGTGTATCAAGGGGTATGAGAGTTATATGTACGGATACAGATATGATGGTAAGAAATTATTTTATTTGAATTATTTGATGGTAAGAAAATATTACGGCTGCTTAACGGAGGGGCAAGAGGCTTCCCTTGGGAAGTTATTGATTCCATTACCGAACCAAAAAAAAAAAAATTCCCCAATCCTATCTTACCATCAGCAGTTTATTATTCCCCAATCCTATCTTACCAATCAGCTCAATCTTTTTTCCTTCTTGCTAAACCTGTGCAAACTATTCCTGTATCAATAAACTGCTGGCATGGTAAGAATTGGTGGGAGGGGATAGAGAGAAAGCATCAGGGCCCTCAAGGATGTTACTCATGAAAACCTACTTAAATATCCGATTATATGTAAATGAACAGAACTCAAACAGAACTAGATGGTATAGGGTGGTCCTAATTGACGACCATAACCCAGGAAATTCAAACAGAAACCTAGATTGGTCAGCTTTACACGCATAACCACCATATGCCACAAGAAAAAGCTATTTAAAGCATGATATCTTGATCCTTCGTCATATGTGAATTAATACTAGGACACCACTGTAAAGCTACTGAGCTGAAAGGATAGTATAAACAGCTGAGCAGGTTCATACCTGTCCTCTCCCTTGTTCTCGAATAGCTTTCTGGAATATCTGCTCACTGTCCCCAGTCTCTATCAACCGATCAATTGTCTGCATGAAGTGGAAAATAAAGGGGGAAAATTAGATGTGCACAAAAAGCATTACTAGCATTTTCAAGAATTCAAAAGCACTACATAGCTTCACCTCTTCATCAGCTCGATTGCCCGTCACTGTCATACACACCAAAAGCAAATAGTTACAATCATGAAAATCCTTAAGTAACCGATACAGAAATTCAAATCTAGGAGTTCTTAACACCTGTGTATACACGCCTTTCAACAACCTCACGATATTCTTGGTGGATGTTCTCTCGTAATGTCTAAACATATTTCATCAGCTAAACCTGAAAAGCAAGCAAACCCCAGAAGAGAAAGAGCCATTACTAATGTAGCTGACATACCTGAAACTCGGACATTTTATCTTTGAACTTCTTTTTCAAGGAGCTGCAATCAAAGATAACAGGCCGAGTTCACTCATTGACCATATGTGTAATAAGGCGAATAACTGAGAATCTGAATTGTTGGAACAGAAGGGAAGCATGAGAAAAGGCATAATTACTCTGCTTCATTTTTTCTGACACATTAAGCACTATGACAAACTGGAAGTACTGACTTCTTTGTGTTTTAAGATGTGTGCATTTAAGAACTCACATTTGTACTTTATGAGCATATAAATTGGTCATTACTTTTGTAGTTTGAGTCAGAAGGTGATGTTCGTATAAGTCAGATATGCACTCGCAACAAGGCAAAAGCCAACCCGTGAATATGTTGCTAAGAAGAAGTAGAGAAGCACATTTGATTGTGTATAAGTAATAGAGCAATTACACTTTTAAGTAGTACACCATAACTGTACTTCAGAGAGAAAAAGAACAAAGCATGCAGTTTTACCGACAAATGCATGGCGAAAATTTAATTCTATCCTCAAACTTATCCACCGTCTGTCCCAATACATAGTTTTATTCCAGCAGCCATTAGTTCATCCATTTAAATAAGTTATTCAGAGTTACCCACCCAAGAATCTCAAAATAACATCAAGGTGTGACCATATCAAAAAAGGAAACAACTATTGAGTAGACACAGGAGATGTAAGGACTCAAAATTACACTGTTGTTGCCGTTCTTGATCTGTCAAGAGCTGATCCTTTACCACATCCTGGTTTGCTTCTATTGGCCAGATTCTACAATGTAAGAAAATAGATCAGAGCCATAAGAAAACACAAAAGTACAAGAATTTAGACATGAAAGAATTTTTTTTTTTTTGGATAAGGCGAGATGAAAGTATCTAATCTTACTAACTTCTTTGTCAAGTTCCTCAATCTTTAATTTGATGAATCGAGCTACTTTGCTAACTTCATCAACATCTTTTTCCATTCGCTGCTTAATTGCTGCATATACAATCTCATCACTTAGGAATGCCACTTAAAAATAATTATAAACACGTTTTGAACATGAGTAAGAGAAGACATATACAATCTCATCACTTAGGAATGCCTACTTAAAAATAATTATAGACACGTTTTGAACATGAGTAAGAGAAGCAACCAAAGATGATTTTTCCAAACAAATAGAAAAAGCAGACTCAGTGCAACTTATTCGTCCTTCAGTTGCTGCTCCTTATTTGCTATATAACTTATAGATCTTTCAACACAAAATAGAACCTGTATCTTTCATCACTTTTAGAATATGCTAATATCATTGTTCCTATAATTAGGACAAAGCACTACTCTAGTCGATAGCTTGGGTGAATAGATTAGACTTGACATCTCATATATATAAGTGTATACAATTGTTCCCCCCTCGAAAAAATGTAATAAAAGTGCATTGCGGAGCGTGAACATAGAACTATAAGGGGTCGTTTGATAGGATGCATTAGATAAAATAATGCATGCATTAGCTTTGTGTATTAATAATACCTTGTTTGGTACACTTTTTGAACTTATGCATTAGTTATACATCTTATTTGGTATTATCCTATGCATAACTAATGCATAGGAAATCATGGTATTAACAATACAATGGGTTTTAATGCATGCATTAGCTTAGTTAAAGACAAAATTGCCCTTCAAATCTATGCTTGATTAAACTATGCTATTATATTAATGCAAGTTTGATGTAAAGTTTGATACTGAAATTGCTCCCGCTATTTATATCTATACTCCGCCAATTTCTTTATTGTAAATTCATAAATTGTAGACTACTACGTACTGGAATGCACTTGTAATCAACTCACTTTTCTTTTATTTTTTTAATACAAACTTTCTTTGCTTAATAATCCAAGAAAGTGGGAAATAAAATTATATCCCTAGTAGATAAATAAATACTTAGTATATTTCCTTTTTTATAAATAAATATTCAGTTCCATACTACAATATAGGTAGACAAATCAAATAATTTTTGTTAAACCTTTTTCATATAAAAACACTCCTCAACATATGTTTCTTTTAAAAAGATAAAGTGATGAACTAGTTATGAGGGTATTTTTGTAAACAAACAATTCTTTTAGAAATTGTGCAATGCTTTAATACATCAAACCAAATAATGGATAAGAAATATGTCAGCAAAACTAATGCCGGCATAACTAATGCAAGCATAACTAATACTAGCATTACTAATACACCTTATTCAGCATTATTCTTAGGCACCCTACCAAACAACCCCTAAAAGACCCAAATGCAAGACATTTGCCTTCACACATTCTCTCAATTCTTACTCCAGTATCTCTTATTCCTCACAAGTATCAGAGCTAAGTGATAAATTAATCATTGTGCATTAACCAGTGACCTCTAAGAGAAAAAATAGTGTCATTGTGTAATTGTTGACAACCGTGAAAGTTATCCCAGGTGTCTTTGTCTTTGTGCAAATTAAGCATAACACTATCACAAAAATTGGGCCCTTCTTACGAGCACAATATGAGAAGCCACACAGCAACTAGAGATAAGTGTGGCATCACGTTGTCTTAATTCCCAGGTTCCGGCAGCGAGGTTTTTTCCAGTTTTCTAGCTTATTAGTTGTCGAATAATGCCTCCAATCTCACCCATACAAGATTTGGCAGACTCTGGGACCAGAACAATAGCCCCAAATAGGAAGTTTAGTTCTCCTATGAAAAATACTATAACTTAACCCCCGGGAAAAATTTCAACCCATCCTTCTCACGAATGTGTTGTTTTTAGTCATTCACGGGTTCATAAAGGATATTGTTGCTGAGCACCTGACTTCCGTCGATACCTTACATCAGTCATGCTACCTTCTTCAAGACTCGACCTTATTTGATACCTTCTTCCTCTCAAGATCTATGCAAGGAGGAAACTTCCATCGTGTCCTTCAAAGATCGATCGGAGAATTGCGTAAATAAGGTTTTACCTAACTAGCCCTATAGGTGGGGCCCTGTGTAAGGGCGGATGGGACTTAGACCTTATCTTAGTTGTTTAAATAAAGTAGGGGTTAGGTCTTTGTCCCCGGATTCGCTGATTCAAGGGTTTTAGATGAGATGGAAGAGATTGCTCAGGATGAGTGTTTGGGCAACAAAGCGGAGGAGGGTGTAGTCAAAGAGAGAACTCCCGAAGAGAGTGATTTGGCTGATAGAAGAGAGCATCTGGAAGAGAGGGTCAACTATGGCAGTGACTTGGGGGGCTTGTTCTGTGATAAACAAATGACTTCAAACAAGAACCAGGGCATCCAAAAAAGGTGAACCTGAAAAGAGCAGTAAGAGTAAGCATTCAACTACTGGTGCTATGACCAACAAGGTGAAATTATCTGCGGTTTTACCTATTTCTTGGGGGATAATATTACCTCTCCTAAATGTTCTACCACAACTACACGACTCTTGACTTATCATCGTCGATAATGTTTACATCAGGTCTAAAAGATTCACGCCTAGAACTAGATCCTTCCTCCTACAGAAGACCTTTCTCCTTCCCATAGTCCTTGAGCACATGTTTAAAATGTTACTCGTTCTAATCATAATTCTCATGCTATTTAAACCTTTTTAAGTTATCATCGCTATCATCATCCCAATATATTTTTGTCTCGTCTTTGTCATATGTCATTCATTTCTAAGTCTATAGGCAAAACTCTTGCACGTGATATTTGTCATTGGTAATGTCCAACTAATAGAAGCTTGTTTATTAAACATCTTATATTTATTATAGTTCTTTAGAAAAATAAAAAATATCCATTCATCACTAATAGGTGTGGTGGAATGGTAAAGGTTCCTCCACCCTTAACCTCAGGTTCGAGCCTGGGCACGGAGTCCACATTGGTAGGGGGCACCAAAACCCCCCATGGTAGGTTTTGTACTGTGAGGCCGGATTAGTCGGTCCAATGATTCTGGACACCGGATGGTTTAACCAAAAGAAAAGAAAAAGATGCATATTCGTACTAATAAAAAAGCACAGTCAGAACATAGCTTTCTGCGAAAACTGACTAGTTGCTTTAAGTTTGACCATTCTCCCATCTATAAAGTGATTAAACACTTGGGGACGTATGCAAACTGAGAATCAGCTGATGGAATATAATTGAGTAGGGAGACCCAAAAAACATGTTAACAGAAGCCTCTGCATTTTTTATTTTATTCATATTTATTATCTACTTTTCCTAACTGAAAAACAAAAGGAAGTAGGTCCATATTTGGTATATGTTATCGTATTCATTTATACAAGTTGAACCTTTCTCCAAAAAAGAAAAAAGATCTTCTCAACAAGTTGAACTATTCTTACATAGTTGAAAAACTTTTACTGCCATGCCAGGATTCAGAGATAAAATAATCATATGTTTTTATCGGTGGACCTTGATGCGGCCTTTATAAACTAAACCGCCTTTAACATTTCAACTATCAATTCAGGTATCATATGATAGGTTTCTTACTCCACTCTTAGCTGAACTAGCTTATAGGGCATCTACGATGAGTGAATAACACATCAGTCATGCAAATCAAATTCTTCCAGCACATGCCCCAGCAGTATAACCACAAGAAAATAGATTACCTTTCATAGCAGCAGCTTTTGTGACAGCCTTTGATTCCTCATGAGCATCCTGAAGAGCATTGGAAAAACTCCTGAGGTTCTTAACATTTAAATATTTAAGGAAACAATTAAGATCATATATGGATCTTCTGAGCTCCTTTGGTCCCTATGTCTTTGTTTTTTGTCCTTTAGGTAAGTACCTTATGTTCCTATTTCTTACATCAACTAACCTACAAGTCGACGGACACTTCTTGGAATTACCTTTTCAACCCCCTAAAGTGGGTTTTAGTACAAGCAAACTGAATGAATTTTGTGAAACAGTAACATGGAAGAGCTCCTCGTTATGTGGAAAAAGGAATCACATTATATGCACTTGAAGCAAGGTTTTATTACCTCCCCATCCCCCCACCCCCAAAAAAAAAAAGCTAACATCAGATCAACCTTATTTCTTACACACCATGCTGCTGATAAATGTAGAAACAAATTCAAATACTTTTAACTGGGAAAGTGAAGTTGTGGTAACGATGCCCAATGCCTTTTAAATTGTTGATTCTGATTGAGTAATGTAATTACTGCAATTCAAAGTTAGAGGGGTTCGAAGTNTATATATATAGAGAGAGAGAGAGAGAGAGAGAGAAGGGTATATTGTATTGTATACATAAATAAGGGTTAAGAGACATTGTTCTATTGATGACCCTGCAAATTTTTATGGTGCTCTTTCTTTCTATGTTTGGACTGACTATGAAAATGTCGAACTCGGTTGTGATACAATTCTTACAGTATACAATCTCTTCAAGAATCTTCACTAAATCCCCTCTACTACCTCACTAGGGAAAGTTTCATCTACTCCAACTCCTCCAATGGACTACTCAACTTCATCCCTAAGTGCTTGTCCAAAGAGGGCAGGAACAATTTTAACTGCTGCACATATTGCAACAAGTAGGACATACTCGAGATAGTGTTATTTTCTCGATGGCATACCACAATCAACTAAGGTTAATGTTGCTCAACCACAAACTATAGCTAATATAGCTCAATCTAGAAAATGTAGAGAAGTAAACTAATCAAGGAATTTGAGGAGCTTCAAAACTCCCATGAGTCTTCAACTTAGTGCCTCTGATTATATCTCTTTACTCATAATCTCAGATTGCTTGTTCCGTGTCACCGCCTTTAATCATACTTGGAAGACAGAACTGAACCCACTACTATAGCATTGCTAACCCTATTCCTTATGTACCATAATCTTATGTTTGTATTTGCCCTAACGGCTTTTCAATTTGATTTCAATATGTCAACTAACTCAAACACTATATTATTCAGTGACATTCTTCTGATTTTGTCATGCTGCAGGACTGAATTACTAGTGACTGGTACCTGCCACGGGAGTGAAACACATGGACTTTACCACCTTCTTCCCATACTATCGTGGCCTGTCCTTCTGTTTCTAATTCTCTATCACTCCTATATAGTTGATATGTACACCCCACCCTCTCAAAGTTGTGGCGATTACACCTAATTTTATTGCTCAGTAAAACTGTATGGTTTGTCGCTTTCGGGATTCCCTCTATTGTCTAAAGCAGTTCCACAAGCTTAGTTCAATCAAAATTAGTACAGTTGTCCAACAATTTGGTTTAATCTTTGCATGCTCATTACAGTTGCTGCCATGTGACCAAGAGGTCACGGGTTCGAGCCGTGGAAATAGAATCTTGCAGAAATGCAGGGTAAGGCTGCGTACAATAGACCCTTGTGGTCCGGTACTTCCGCGGAACCCGCGCATAGCGGGAGCTTAGTGCAACGGGCAAGTAACTATGCTCATTACCTATGCATGAATCAGATAAAATAAAGAAAACCTAACAAACTTAAATGCAACCTTCAAAGAAAATTACATGCCACTCACTGCACGCAACAATTGCAATCAAACTGATTTACAAAAGGATGGCACGTAGTATTATCAAAGGGCATTTATACCTGAAGCTTCTTGAGGAGCTTTTCCAACTTCTCATACTGCTTCTCAATTTGGTGAACCTAGCAACATCGAAAAAAGAGGCAAGAAAAGGAGGAAGTACGAAATTTTCAGGAGATCAACTTCAACATGTCGGAGGGAAAGTAATTGTGGAAAGGAAGAGGAGAAAACAAAATTATCACACTGTTAATTTTCCAAGATAACATATAACAAGATTTTGCAGCAAACCTGCTTAAAGAAATCATCAAGACCTAGCTCCCCGGAGTCCATTGGTCTTTGTATTCCCATTTCAATATCTCCAAGTCTATCATTTTGATGCCTAGGGGCCTCATAGGTATCAAAACCATCCTACAAGACAAATCAAACAGTTACATAATGAAAAACAACATTTTTTTCTTTACAAGCACAAATCAGAAGAATGTGGAACTTTATAAGGAATACTTAAAGTGACATTCTTCTGGGGTTTGAGCAATACCAGCAATATTTTAAAGGAAAAAAATTACTTTGCTGTGACAAGCAAAACCAATTCCAAACCCGAGTAAAGTACTTGGGTCACCATAGGTTGACAACCGACGTGAATATAGTTTAACTATGATAAATCCTCTGAATTTTGAGCCTAAATAGAATGGAATATATATAGATGATTCATATAGTCATCTCAACTAATTATGGCATTAAGGTGCAATTGATCGGTAAAAATACTAGTAATACCAAAGGGCACAGAACTATTCTAAGGTCTCAAAGAAGTATAGTACAGCATACATCCAATATGGCCATGAAATCATTATTGAAGAAAGAGAAAGGAATAATCCCAGGATAAGTATTTAATAAGTACGTAAACATGACAAGATAAAGGTTTTATTTCTACCACATATTTTATTAATTGGACAGACAAGCAAAGCATTTGCAAAATTCTACAGCAAAAGAGAGTTTTTGATACTAACAGTGAGAAGGAAAAGAATTTACAGGTGTCCCACACAAGCTAGGAGAGTATATACCATTTATTAACTGAAACTACAACCATAGGTCACAAAACCAATTAATTTCTGCATCAAGACTGAGATTCAGACTTTTTGCATAAGGAAAATGGATCTGATCTGTGGAGTTGTTGAAACCTAAACTTGTTCATGCCAAAAGGATTCCCTAATGAGCTTGCGTCGAGGAACGTCTTTATCAGAATATTTTTGCTTCTCACTTCGGTCAATTCAGTAAAATAGTTATAACGATGATACATCAGCATTAGCAACGTTATGGTCAATACACACTTTTTTTCTTTCAACAGTAGTGTTTGGACTAGCTTATACACCTCTTCTAATACTCCGGGTATCCGCTACCTCCCACCACCAAAGATATAGGATAAATCTAACTACCAAGGGTTAACAAATGGAAGAAATCACCTAACATTTTTTGCCTCTGCTGGGATTTGAATCCTGATCACTATCGTCCATTACAACTTCATTGAACGTTAGGCCAATGAGAGGATGGAGGCTTGGAGACATGCCCTTGAGTCTAAGGGTTTCAAGTTGAGCAGAATTAAGACGGAATACCTTGAGTGCAAGTTCAGCGCCGAGCCGACGGAAGCGGGATGGGAAGTGAGGCTTGAATCACAGGTCATCCCCAAGAGGGGCTGTTTCAAGTACCTTGGGTCGGTTATACGGGGGATGGGGAGATCGACGAGGATGTCACACACCGTATAGGGGTAGGGTGGATGAAGTGGAGGTTAGCGTCTAGAGTCCTGTGTGACAACAAAGTGCCACCGATACTCAAAGGTAAGTTTTATAGAGCGGTGGTTAGACCAACCATGTTGTATGGGGCTGAGTGTTGGCCAGTTAAGAACTCACATATCCAGAAGATGAAAGTAGCAAAAATGAGGATGTTGAGGTGGAAGTGCGGGCACACTAGATGGATAAGATTAGGAATGAAAATATTCGGGAGAAGGTGGGCGTGGCCCCCATGGATGACAAGCCGCGGGAAGCAAGACTCAGATGGTTCGGGCATGTTTAGAGGAGAAGCCCAGATGCCCCAGTAAGGAGGTGTGAGCGGTTGGCTTTGGTGGGTACGAGAAGAGGTAGAGGGCGGCCTAAGAAATATTGGGGAGAAGTGATCAGTCAGGACATGGCATGGCTTCAGATTACCGAGGACATGGCCCTAGACAGGAAGTTGTGGAGGTCGAGCATTAAGGTTGTAGGTTAGGAGGTAGTTGTGCATATTTCTACGGCGCACCAGAGTGAGGCTAGTCTGTTAGGATTTTGTCTTAGACTGCTAGTGGTTAATGTTGAGTTCACACTGCTCTTTCGCTCCTCTTAGTGCCGGGCTTTATCTACTGGTTATTGTTTTGCTTTTCATCTATTTTCTGGTTCTTGTGATGCTGTTATTTTTTCTATAATTTTTATTGACGGTACTGATATATTGCCTCTTTTCGTCTTCTTGAGCTGAGGGTTTATCGGAAACAGCCTCTCTACCCCTTAGGTAGAGGTAAGGTCTGCTTACACACTACCCTCCCCAGACCCCACTAGTGACATTTCACTGGGTCGTTGTTGTTGTTGTATTGAACATTAGGCCAACCCTTGAGTGCTGGTCAGTACAAATACGCATGCATATATATTTCATAAAACTTAAGAGGACATCAATGATTAAGACTTAAGCTTCCATAAGGAGAATATCAAGCTAAAGTATGAGCCTTGTCCCTCAATAAACATGTTTAAATGAGACTTTGGATGTCTTTCCCGGACAGTGAAGCCAAAAAGAAATCTTCTTTTTACTTTCTTTGACATGTTGAAATAGTATTTTGTTAGTAGCCACGCTAAGATTTGCGTTCTTTGCTTACCCAATTCAAAAAGGCAAGTAATATAATAGAAAGGGAAGGGTAAAACAAGGAACTCGCCTTCCTAACATACATTTAAAATTAGCTGAATCATAGTAGTTACAAGAGGACGAAAATGCAGCTTCAAAAATTGCCAGATGCTAAATGTCATAGAACGCTTAGCACATTTACAAATCCATTATTGACAAATACATTATTTAACGATCAAATCCATACTAAACATTTTTCTCCAAATCAAACTAAGCAGAAAAACAATAGCAAATCAACAAATTGCTGCATAACGTTTAGAAATAAACTCCATTCACTGTAGCTAACATAAATATCGTTGTTTAGCTATGATGAACCCTCTGACTTTGAGCTTTAATAGAATGAAATATATAGGATGATTTGTATAGTCATCTCAACTAGTATGGGATTAAGTCCAATTGATTGGTAAAAATACTAGTAATACAAATAGGCATTGAACTACTCTAAGGTATCGAAGAAGTATAACACAACATACATCGAATATGGCCATGAAATCATTATTGAAGAAAGACAAAGGAATAATCACAGGATAAGTATTTAATAAGTACTTAAACATGACAAGATAAAAGTTTTGATTCTACCACGTATTTTATTAATTGGACAGACAAGCAAAGCATTAGCAAAATTCTATAGGAAAAGAGAGTTTTTGATACTAACAGTGAGAAGGAAAAGAATTTACAGGTGTCCCACACAAGCTAGGAGAATATATACCATTTATTAACTGAAACTTTAACCATATGTCACATAACCAATTAGGTTCTGCATCAAGACTAAGATTCAGACTCTTTTCATAAGCAAAATGGATCTGATGGTGGGGTTGATGAAACCTATAGGTCTTCATGCCAACAGGATTCCCAAATGAGCTTTCGTCCAGTAAAATGGTTATAACGATGATACATCAGCATTAGCTACAAAAGAAAAATTTCTTAGAACAGTAGTTTTCGGACTAGCTTGTACACCTCTTCCAATCCACTGGGTATCCGCTACCTCCCACCATCAAAGATATAGGATAAATCTAACTACCAAGGCTAACAAATGGAAGAAATAACCCAAACATTTTTTTTCTCTGCTGGGATTTGAATCCTGATCGCTATCGTCCATTACAACTTCATTGAATGTTAGGCCACCCCTTGGGTGCTGGTCAGTAAAAGAGGCATGCATTTATATTTCATAAAATTTAAGAGGATACCAAAGATTAAGACTTATGTTCCACAAGGAGAAGATTAAGCTAAAGTATGAGCCTTGTCCCTCAATAAACATGTGTGAACGTGACATTGGATATCTTTCCCTCCCAGTGAAGCCAAAAAGGAATCTCCTTTTTACTTTCTTTGTTATATTGAAATTTGAAGCAGCAGTTTGTTAGGAGACATATTAAAACTTGCATTCTTTGCTTACCCAATTCTACAAGGCAAGTAATATAGTAGAAAAGGAAGGGGAAAACAAGGAATTCGTCTTCCTAAGATACATTTAAAATAGCTGAATTATAGTAGCTAAAAGAGGACGACAATGCAGCTTCAACAATTGCCACGATGCTAAATGCCATAGAATGCTTAGCACATTACAAATCCATTACTGACAAAATACATCATCCACCATCAAGTCCATACTAAATGTTTTTTCTCCAAATCAAATCAAGCAGGAAACAAGAAACAAATCAAGAAAATTGTTTCTGCATAACTTTTAGAGATCAACTTCATTCACAGTAGCTAAGAAAGTCCAATATTTAACAATTGTCGCAATCCCGGATGTCACTTTATGCAGCCTAATTCCCATCTTTGGCTTACCCATCAACTACAAGTAATCTTATAATGCTTCCTACAAATAGAATTCCTTTATTAACAAACCATAAAGCTCACTAACAAAACCTTTTCTTCATATCAAATTAAGCAGAACAAAATAGCAACTTTGCTGACAAGACAGCAATATTTGACAAATTAAGCTACAAAGTCTGTGAAAGATGGAAAGAAAAAAAAACTCAAAAGGGTGAAGAAAGTAATGTCCTTTTTTCCTAACATTTGTATGTAATTTTCAGCAGCCAAAGAAATTAATAAATTGATGTAAAGGGGCAAAAGAAACTTACATTTAAAAGGTCGTTCATGGCGATCTTTTCTTGGCTCTCTCTCTTTCAGATTTTGCTTCCACCCCCGTCAGTGAGAATTTTAGAGAGAGAGAAATAACAGAGAGAATGTGCTTTGCTGTTGTCCTGTTGAAAACAGCTTATGTGACAAAGGAGAGAGAGAGAGAGAGAAAGTGTTAAGGAAGTACTTTTCCATATTAGTTCAAAAAAATAATATATTTTATATTTATAAATAATTTAAATTTAACTTTTTTATTTAAATATAACTTTTATAACCACACAAATATTATAGTTTCACAAAACTTTTATACCGTAAACTTTTAGAATCATAAATTTTAAAATATTTTAATTTTGTGCCAAAACATATAAATTAAAACGGAGGAGTACTATCTTACATAATTACTTCCCACTGTTTTTTATTAATTAATTCAAAAGAATAGCATACTTTGATATTAATAAAAAAAATTATAACTACACACTATCTGTATTATATTTAAGACCATAAATTTTGACTACATCTTTTCATTATTAATTTTGTGTTAAGTAAAACTATGTCAAACAAAATAAAATGGAAGGAAGAATATTTATTATGAAATTTATTTATTTATTACCTTATAAATCACATAATTCTATAAATATTTGCACCATTAATGCAAATAAATTAAACTTTTTAAAAGTATTATTATAATTAGTATTAGTAGTACGTGTTTTTTCCTTTACACTTGGTCATTTTTCCTTTGTGATTGAACCTACGCATAAACATCATAATATTCAGGTATTTTTTGAAAGTAAGGTGTATTTGCTTGGTTGCATACTATATGTAATGTATAAATTTTAAAGTGAAATAAAAAATAAAAAGTAAATTAAGAATTAACAAATTAAGTAGACGCAAGTTTGCGTTTTACAAGAATTGTTTGGTTTGAGAGATTGATTGTATTGAATATATAAGAATTTATTTGGGATTAGCCAACTAACCCTTCTCGATTTGGAAAAGTATCCCAGTATATTGTTTCTATATAATAAAAAACTATTGCAATTATAACATTTGTTTTCTTGGTTTAATCAAAAGAGCGAATTTCATTTAAATTTTCGAAGTTGTAATTATATAATTTTAATTCTTGCTACTTGCTCGATTTTGATTAGAGAGGTTAAAGTGTCTGGAAAACCTTCGAAAACATTGTTGTTCAACAAAAAAGAAATTGGATAGTTACAATAAGTGAAGTAAATCGAAAAAAAGTATAATACTTCAAAAGTTCTTATATATTCGGAATAAGACTGATGGAGACCACATTGTCTTCAAATACTTTAGTTCTCTATCTGAGATTTGTATTTTGTTTTGTTTTTTTCCCGCATTTTCCAACCATTTTTCTAGTAGAAGAAAACTTTTATATACTTAATCTTTGATGTAACTATATGATTGACTCAGCATTGACTAATAAAGAAACATAATTCAAACCCAAAATATTATTTTTTAATATAAGGATCCTTCCAAAATCCAAAAGATACATTTAGCTGACTATTTGACCTCTTTTTTATTCTTTTCTCCTTTTCCTTAGAAACTAACATGCCTTGCAGTTTATTTTTCTTTTTGAATAGTCTTTTCTCAATAATTTGTGCTAGATATTAGCTGGGGCTTAATCATCACAAGTATATAGTAAGTAAATTAATAAAGTGTTGGTAATTGTCCAGTTGGGAAAGAATAAGGGATTAATAATTAAAGAGATATCCTCCTCTCAAGGGTTGGTGGCATGGGGACCCAAAAATAGAAGTGAGAAAAAGATTGCTCAACAATTCCCGCGGAAGCATGTGGTTTGGGTGGCGCTCATGTTCCTGTGCTTGGCTTTCTGTAAGAATTATTTGAGGCAAAATGTTCAAAACCACAGTAGGACCTTCAATTAGTTCCAACCTGGCACTTACGTCCCTGTCTTTAATGATAAATCATACTATATTTTATTTATTTATTAATATAATTAGTAATAATTCCGATGCCTCCTTGGTTACAACTAATTATGCTTTTGTTTTTGGATTTTATTGTTGTTACTTTCAAAAAATTTCAAGATTTTACAAAATAAATGAATTTAAATGCAAAAACATGGTTTGCAAGGAATCATATAACCTACCATAATTTGTGTTTGGTAATGAGGTTAGTTGTTGTTGATATTGTATTTTCTAAAGCTTTATTATATGAAATTGATTTTGAAATTATAGAACCCCACATGCTTTATTGTAATACACCGATATATCAAGTATTATGGTCATGATTTTTTATTGTGTTTTCAATTGCATTATACGCGAGTAATATTGTTATTTTAATTTGTGGATGAGTATTACTATGTTGAATGTTGACATATCCACAATAAGTTAAACTTGGACTGAATGGCTTCCAAGTTAACCAATGAGGTTTACTCACAAAAAGAAGCACTAGAAAATTTTGGTGCACGTGGTTCAAACACGAGATAATGACTAGGTTTGATGTAACGATTCGCCGGGTCGTTTTGAGTGGTTTAGCCATGTTCCCCTATTTGATACTTCCCGTATGCTTCTTTGTTATTTTGTGACTTGCGGAGATAGTTGGTTTGGTTTCGGGGAGATTTTTGGATTGAATTGGAACACTTAATTCCAAGGTTGGAAGCTTAAGTTGTAAGAGTTAACCAAGGTTTGACTTTTGTGTAGACAATCCCGGAATGATATTTTGATGGTTTAGATAAGTTCGTAGTGATTTTGGACTTAACGTATCCCGAGTTTGGATTCGGAGGTTCCTAGGTTGATTTGGTTATATTTGGCGAAAGTTTGAAACTTGAAGGTTTGGAAGGTTCACAGGTTTGACCGGGAGTTGACTTTGATGTTACCGGATTCGGATTTTGGTTTCGGAAGTTGAAATCGTTTCGTCATTGGGACTTGTGTGTAAAATTTGGGGTCATTCCGAGTTGTTTAGGCATGTTCGGCGTAAGTTTTGAATTCGGAAACTTGGATTAGTTCATTAAGTTTGGATTGAGGTGTGATTCATGTTTTTGATATTATTTTGTGTGATTTGAGACCTCGATTAGGTCTGTGTTATGCTTTGGGATTGGTTTGTGTGATTGGACGAGGTCTCGGGTGTGTTTCGGATGGGTTGCGGATCATTTCACTCATGTTTGGAGTTGTTGATTCTTCTGGTGTGCTAGTGTTCATCGCAATCGTGGATGTGGTTTCGTGATCGCGGAGTGTGTTTTGTGGCTTGAACCTTTTGTTCTTCGCGTCCGTGGTGTGGAAGTTGCGATCGCGGTCACTATGGAGCTGAAGCTTTGCGTTCGCGTTGGAGGGTCGGGATTGCCTACGGTTTGTGTAAGACAGGGGGTCAGATGGCTTAGCCTTCGCGTTCGCGGATGGGTGTCACGTTCGTGTAGGCTTAGGAGTTGGTGAAGCGCGATCGCGAGCAGCTGGTCGCATAGGGTCTTCTAAAATAGCTTTTGGTTTGTTTGTGATTGCGAAGTAGGTCCCCCGATCGCGAAGGGTATCACATGGCACATACTTAAGTGCTCTATTTCAAGGGTTTAAGTCATTTTATCATATTTTGAGATTGGGAGCTAGGATTTGTGCGATATTTAGGGAATTTTCATGATTTGGATTGGGCCAGTATTTTTTACTCGAATTTATTTATTATTCATGATTCCAACATTGATTTTTGCGTTTGATTGGTAGATCTAAGTGAAGAAAATTAGGGATTTTGACAAAACTTTTCTTAAATGAAAAATGAGGATTTGAACTCTGATTCGGAGTCGGAATTGGATAAAACTTGTATGGTTAGACTCGTATTCAAATGGGTGTTCGGAATTATTGACTTTTGTTAGGTTCCGGGAGGTGGGCCCGGGTTGAATTTTTTGTTGACTTTTTGATTTTTGATAAAGAATAAAAATTTATTGTTTGGGTATGCTTCTTATGGCCTTAGTTAATATTATTGATTTATTTTTTGCTAGATTCGAGCTGTTTGGAAGTCGATCCGCGCGAGAAGGAATTTCTGGAGTATTGATTTGCTTGCTTGAGGTAAGTATTTTACCTAAACATGGTTGAGGCACTAGTTTCCTGAATTACTTGTGATGGCTACGTGCTATGAATAGAGCACATGTGAGGGATTGAGCCCATGTGCGTTTACCGGGGTATTATTCATGCTCGGGATAGTGCTTAGGCTATGATATGCCTTGAACTGATTGCTAAGGTTCATGTTATTATGTCTCTTATGTATGTACCTTTTTTGTGAGCAATTTGAATCATGTTTGAGGTTACATATTGGGTGATCTCCTGGGTGAACATCATAATTGCTACTTTCATGATGTAATTGCCTAATTTGAGCAATGGTAGCATACTTCGCACATGCATACACCTTAGCATGACTCTTATACCAGTGCATGAGTACGTAATTTCATATCCTTTGTTCATGTATATATAATATTGTATATCTACTTTTTATGTGATATGGACCGGACTGGTAGCACATGAATTGTCCATGCGGTTAAGATATGATAGCACGTGAGTTGTCCGTGTGGTTGAGATATGATAGCGCGTGAGTTATCCGCGCAATTGTGATATGACGTGAGTTGTCCGTGCGGTTGAGATATGATAGCACGTGAGTTGTCCGTGCGATTGAGATATGATAGCATGTGAGTTGTTTGTGCAGCGTGTAGATAAGGATCCATCCCCTAGTGTCATCCTCTCATGTTTCTCTCTTGATGGTCTACACACGGTATGAGGAAAACTGATCAGTGTTTAGTTTGGTTATTGCATTTCTTCTCTACGGGCAATTTTCCTTGGATGTATACTTGTTTTATGAGCATATCTTTTCTATATGCTGGATTGTTAACTGATATAGAGTTTAGCATATTATCTCTTGTGCATCGAGGTGGCTTTATCTGTGTTTTCATGATTTGATGATATTATTGTTGTGTACTTGTGAAAATTCATGAGCTGAGCAGGTTATTAGCAAGTATCATTGATAATTCTTGCCTATATTACCTCGCCGAGGTTTTGTTATGATACTTGCTAAGTACATGGGCTCGGTTGTACTCATACTACACTTTAACTTAATTGTGCATATCCAAGTATTGACCGGGCTGTGAGTTGCTGTGATTCTTATTGTGAGTTTGCCGAGAGACGAGGTAGAGCTGCATTTCGACCGCAGTCTTT